TGCTGAATGATCACAAAAAAGTTAAAATGGTAGTTAGTCTGATAGTTATTCCTATTAGTTTTTCATACTCTGTATCCTCTTAACCAAAGGATGTGTGTTAATGTGTCAAAGAATTCATAGCTTTCTCACCTTTTTCACCTTTTATCCCCATCAGGGAATCTAACTCCAGTCTCCTGCATGCCAGGCAGGGATACTCACCACTATACTAACAAGAAGATGAAACCAGACTGCTGAAGATGCTTTCAGGTACTTCTTGTAAATCTGACTTCCAAATTGTTATTTTCTTTTGTTTTAGTTTTGTTTGGTTGAATAACATTTGTTGATTTTTGGAGACTGGTCACTCTGGACGTAGATGGATTGATCTAATGACAGGAACCAATGAATCCTTTCCTTAGATAGCTCAGGTTTTAAAATGGAGGGCTGTAAATGTTCAATAACAGGTTTCCTTAGGTTGCTGGTTCAATTCTGGCTCAAATGAACCTTTTCTATCATGTCCTATTGCAATATCGGTCCAAATGTTGCTCTATTTCCACCAGAAAATACAGTTTCTTTAATATATATATATTATATAGTTTACACTAAACACAGGAGGATCTTGTGTCTGTGTCAGTTTGGAATTAAGATTTAGTGGCTGGAGTGTCAGAGGGATGACCAGCTGACCAACCCTTCCGCAAGTGGGACCACGTGGCCTAATGGATAAGGCCATGTTAGATGGGGAAGACAGGGGGAGAAGGGGGGCAGAAGAAAAACGAGGGGGAAAGGGGAAAAAAGAGAGAACCGAAAACATGCGGCCTTGTCACTTAGTTTAATTGATTTATTAGCTCAAGTAAGAGTATTTTTTTAATTACTGTAACTAGACCGAGATTCAAACCGGCGACTCTAGTAGGTGGTGCATTCAAGGTGAACTGAGTCTGATTGTAAATAAACATTAACTTAATATAAGTAGTATCAATGTAGTAGCTTAATATAAGCAGCGAATTGTACAACATGCATGTTTAGTGGTGGCAAAAAAATGCTTTCAACAATGCAACTGCAGAAATTACTGAGGATCTCAACCAATATACCAAACATTTACTTTTCAGGATCTGGTTATTATGGACAGATTACATGTTACCGTATTTTCGCGACTATAAGGCGCATATAAACGTCTTTTTTTTCCCTCAAAATATGCGGCGCGCCCTATAGTGCGGTGCGCCCTATGTGTGT